AGATAAAGTAGGCGCTTTTAAGACACCCCCACAAGGCCGTTTTGGATGCCCCTCGGTTTGTCAGATATGAGAGCAGTTATCAGGTCAAACCAACAGGTGTTGCAGCGATGGAAGTGTAACACCGGGAAGGTTGCGGCCGTAACCGGGGGATAAAAATCAAACTAGAAATGAATTGAAGTTATTTGTTCTTTTAAAAAGAGGACGTTTTCCTTCTGATCTCAGTGATGACGTGGAGAAATAGCCGATCAGTGGTGGTCTTGACCGGTCTTTATTTGAAATCCTGAGACTGAGACCTTCAAAAAGTGGTCCTGAGACCAAGACTGATTTGGAGTACTACAACACTAGTGCTTTGTTCTGCACTTTGTGTTTCAGGATCCCTGATACTCTCAGAAATACTACAAACACTGTCTCGTATTCTGTGATGTGACATCTCCACACATGAAGTCGTTTTCTGACTTTAGTTTGAATCATCCGTTTTCACGTCTAAAAGGAAGGTCACCTCTTTTTCTTGACATATACCAAAAACCAAGTCTGCTTATCACTCTTAGATACCACAAATTAAAATGTGTTTTATTATTCATGCTCTCAGACTTTACCCCTGCAGTGTTTGTTCTAAAGCAGAGTTTGTTCTCAGGTTCTCTCTAATACAGTTTCTATCTCCTGATAGTTTTTGTGGGTGGAAACTTGTCTCACAGTGAATATCTTCCACCATCACACATCCACACTAAACCCTGCTACTTCCTTCTTCAAAGTGTCAGATCTTATCCAAGCAGCATCCTCCGGTGTTGACCAATGAAGCCGATGCAAAACAACAACCTGCAGTTCCTCGGGTGCCACTAGAGGCTGGCTGCAGAAAAGCACATGAAGTCACATACACACCCATACTAAAAAAGCCTGTTTACATTTTTGAGTCTTTAAAGTGATTACAGTTGGATAGAATCGTGATCAGATGATTTTTAGACGTTGAGATATGTTGAGGTTTTTATTTTTTCTTCTGAAAGTTATGAATGTTGATGGTTGTTCCTGATGTGCTCTGTGTTTCAGCGGTTCAGGATCTCTGGGATGTGACGTACTCTTCTAAGCAGATCTGTGCCCGTAAAGGATTGACTGTGGAGATGAGCTGCACCTTTCCATACCCAGAGGGAATAAACGAGGAAGTTAACACACTTCAGGAAACATTTTGGTCTACTGATGATCCTGAATATGAAGTGGATGTTAAAGAAGACTCCAAGTATTCAGGCCGTGTGCAGAATACCTGTGTGGGGAACAAGTGTACTCTGAGAATCACAGACGTGAGAGAGACAGACAGGGCTGTATACATGTTCATATTGAAAACAAACATCAGCAGATATTTAAGTAGATCTGGGGTCTACCTGATTGTCACAGGTAATATTTCACACTTTATTCTCTGAGCTCACAGTTTATAATAATATGTTGTATATTAATGTATTTACTACATGTTTGTGTGCTGATATTTCTACACATGTTCAGATCTCCAGGTGCACGTGATCAGACAAGCGGCTCGACTCTTTTCTTGTCTCAACGGATGTTCTAAAGAAACCATCTGGTTCAAGAATGGAGAGGAAATCAAAAATGAAACATCATCTCATTATTCATCAGAGCAGGTTCTTCAGACAGACAGTTATTCCTGTGCTGTACGAGGACATGAGAAGTTCCCGTCTCCTCCAGTGTGTGAGTTTATTTACAGTCTTCACTGATTCACACCATCACACGGAGCCTTTAAAGGTCCAATCAGTGAGATGTGTAGAGAGTGAGATGATAAAGTGAGCTTACTATCTGATCAGACATTAAGGAAACATGCTATGTTGAAGTGCTGGCTTCTCTGACAACAATGCAGCAGCCAGTATGTCAGTGATGATCAAATGATCCGCTCAAACGGTCGGTTCGACTAACTTAAGGATAGCAACGTCATCTCACAGCCTGCTGTAGTCTCAGTTAGGGCTGCACGATATTGAGAAAAAAATGACATTTCAATATTTTGTTTCCTGCGATATATGTTAACTGCTTCACTCTGTTCAGCTGAATTCTCCCTGAAATGATGATTACACACACACACAAGAGAGAGAGAGAGAGAGAGAGAGAGACGAGAGAGAGAGAGAGAGAGAGAGAGAGAGAGAGAGAGAGAGAGAGAGAGAGAGAGAGAGAGAGAGAGAGAGAGAGACAGACAGACAGAGAGACAAGACAGAGACAGAGAGAGAGAGAGAGAGAGAGAGAGAGAACACACACAGGCTGAGCAGACGCACAATGGATCACAGAGTTTGTCCTCCTCCTGCGTTTTGACTTTTTTGTAGTCTTGAGTAATCAGCTGCCAGAGATGTGAATCAATGAAGAGTAATGTTTAGAGACATTTCTAGAACAAGCACAATGCATTTTGTGAAGATGCTCCACCTCAGAAAGAGAAAATTGTGATTTCTGCAGGAAGCAAAGCAAACTTTAAGCAACGGATTACTTTGACATTAAACTACGACTGTTTCAAGTTTTATGGCAGCTCATGGAATCATAAGGCGTGGGAAGGAGGACGTGAAATAAACAATAAAATGGGCTATCAGAAGATCGAAACTTAGACCTCCAAAACAAAACCGAGAGCCCGTTCTGACTGAAGACAAAGTTGAAGGCACAGATCTGGAGGCCGCTGCCTTTAACCCTGAAAGTGTTAAATAAAGCCCCTTATGTGATATTAACTAAAGCAAACTGTCAGATTGTATAAATCCCTGCTCCTCTCCGCTCACATTCACCGCTCTCTCTCTCTCAGTCGCTCGACCACTCACGCTGCACGTCGCTCTGCCCGGCCCTGATAACAGCAGGTGAGATGACAGAGCGCTGAGAAGGTGTTCTCACTATGAGAGTTGTTGCATAATGTGGTAAAAGATATAAATATATACTCATTTAGATCTATCAGTAATGTGAACGGGCTTAGACAGGATACATAAACTTCATTGAAAGGCTCAAATATGTTTTTTGGCTCCAGACAGATTTGTTTTTTCTTCACATCGCATATCCTTGCGTTGTGAGTATTGCGCATGCGCACATCTCGATGACGATGCTGAAACGATATATCGTGCAGCCCTAGTCTCAGTCAGTCTGTGAACTTGTCCATTCAGACTCTGTGAAACAGCGCTGCGTTAAACACTGCAGATATAGTGCACGCTAAATGCACGCTCCACTTTTCTCTTCCATCAGGTGCAGCAGGAGCAGTCAGAGATAAACACGTCCAATGACAAACAGGCTGATTGTATTCAGTGTCTAATATTTTCAAAGCTAAATCAAGAGAAAAATTGTTTTGAGGAATAATAATTTAATTAAATATTATTATCAAATAAAAATTCTCTGTTGGATTTTAGTTATTAGTCTATAATGTTATAATGCAGGGGGGGTCTGGGCACTGCTACCTTTAAAACAATAAAGGCGAGCAAATATATATATATTTTTACAATTTCTCAATTTCCTGATCTGTGTCAGGAAAACAGGAAAGTGGGACACAGGTGCGGACCCAGGGGTGTCTTAAAGTTTTCCAAGAAGGATAACCACAAAAATCGCAAGCGATAGATTGGAGGGGGGGTAGGGAACAATGAAAATAGTCTAGAGCCAAAACATTCCTCTAACTAATGCACAGAAAATGATCAACTAAACCACTGCTGCCAGGCAGCTGACTCAAAACTAAATTGACCGGGAGACCCAGAAACAATTCACGAAAGTAAAGGCTGCCAGGAAGGCCTTCAAACTCAACACAAAAGGCTGGGGTATATCAACTACCCAGCACCCCAAGTTACTTTGAAATAGACACAAATACACAGGAAGTTATTTGTTGGTGTTTATGAACACACAGACAACAAGAGACACCACAGGGAGAAGCTCTCACTACCTCTGAAGGTGAGATAATGAGTCAGCACAGAACACTGACCTCCAGGAGTATATAGAAGCTCCCCACACCTGGTTTTAATCAAGGCCAATCAGCCACAAACACACCTGACTCTGCACTTAGGTGATTCATTCACCAACCCCAGTGAGAAGCCAGAGAGTGTGTCCTTACAATCTGATAAAATTATTCAATCTGTGATTTAAATATCTTGATTCAACAGAACATAATGCCTTCTTAATTAAATGTACTGTAACAGATGTGTATGCGACACAAAAACACTATTTGTGTAATTTTGTGTCGGAAGGACACTGGAATACTCACATTATGTTAATTTCAGAAATGACACTGTCTCTCTGACACTACCTTCTGGGCTTCACGGCTATCAGACTTATGTGCTAGCATATTTGAAAGTCCGGCCTCCACGGTGTCTATCAAGAAAAAAGCTGGCCCTTGTGCAAATGTAGTTGATGACCCCTGCAGTATGTCCTCCTTCTAACTTTAGATTCTGGTCCTGAATGCTCTGGATTTGTTTGCACATCATTTTATAAAACTTGCATCTAAAGGGTTAAAATCCTGAAAATAATTGAATATTTGATAGTTTTGATTAGGACTGAAGTTGATTGAAAGATTTAACCCCCAAAAAAGTGGAAAAAAAACATTATTCAAATTATCTTCACAGCTGTTTTAGGGAGTGGATATTTCTGTCAACGAGTGGCTCAAGAGGGTAGTAAATTTGTACTCAGTGTATCATAGAACTATTCAAAAAAATTAAATTGGAATTTCAAAATGTATCATGCCATATGCACTAACACAGTCAAAGTGATTGTTAAAGGAAACTGAAAAATTCATTGAGTGATACCAGAGGGTTAAATGGTACCTCCATTTTCATATGTGCAGGTTATCAGAGAGTTTCCTGATTATCTGTCTCACTGTTACATTTTTCTGCAAATATAAAAACTTTTATTCAGCAGGTATGATCGTCAGTTTCAGAACCAAAGCTGTTCAATATAACACGTCCACCTTCATCTGATGTGAGGTCTCTCTGATTCTCCTCCAGATGCTCCAAAGCCTCCTTCTGTGTCAGTGAGTTCCCACGATGAGATAGTGGAGGGCACTTCAGTCAATCTGACCTGTAGCAGTGATGCTAACCCAGCAGCTAATTACACCTGGTACAAGGCGGATGGACCTCTAAACCCTAATCACACATATCCAGGAGCTACGCTTGTCTTCAGCTCCATCGAGTCCTCTGACTTTGGGGAGTTTTACTGTGAAGCTGAGAACACGCTGGGGAGAACGACCTCCAAACGCATCTCTGTCAACCTAACATGTGAGTCAAACACTCATCATTAAATAGAGTGAGATGAAGCTACTGCTACCTACCAACCAAGCTGAAGTGTTAAATCCTGCAGTTCCTCGACTGTCCACTAGAGGCTGGCTACAGAAGAACAGGAAGTCACATACACACCCATTCTAAAAAGCCTGTTTTTACAGCAGAGATGAACATGTTTACAGCCTGGTTCAAAAAACCAAATAGGTGTGATTAGCTCATGTCTGGATGGACACACACTGTACGGGGGGTGAATGTTTTGATGACTCATCAGTTTTGATTTGATGAAGGATAAGAGTTATTCACAATAAGGCGTGTAGCTGACCTGATTGACAGGTGGGCGCGGTGTAACAGTTTGTCAGGAGGTTTAAAACCCGCCTCAGCTCCAGCTCTCAGCCGGTCGTTAGGTTGACTGAAAGTTAGACTGAGACAGCGTTTCCAGCATGGAGACCGCCATCGATGGGACTCCAGCGCCCCCTGCAGGAACAGAGGGGGGACGTCACTCAGGCTTCAAACATTCATATTTACAGAACAATCACCCAAACCACCAACTCTTAAAGTGCTTCCACACTTTACACAAAACTGAAAACCTCCTGAAGTGTTCAGGCTGAGAGGTGCAAACCAGATCAGGAGGATATCAGGAGCAATCTTCCTGAAATGATCTAGAAACTTTAAGCAGTGCAGATGTGAAAATGTCTTAATCATTTCCTCCTCCATGGTGTCAGACTGACTGAATGATGAACAGAGGGTATAACAAAGAGGAAAAGTGATGATTTTTCTGTCTAATCCTTCCAGTGAAGTGTCTCACATATCGCTCTCTTTCATTCTTAGGGAACTCACTAAAAATCATCACCAGGTGGACTCTGCTGCTCCTCTTGTTGAGTCCTCTGATTCCCTGACTCTGTGGCTGAGGTAAAACCATCAACATTCATTCTGTTGTTTATGACTCCATCATGTTAAACTGGGAATTTATTGTTTTATGATTTAACCCAGGTGGAAGAAAACTGTGAACTCCACCACTGAACCAGACGAACCTGCAGAGATGATCGAGGTAAGAGAGAGAGAGAGAGAGAGAGAGAGAGAGAGAGGAGAGAGAGAGAGAGAGAGAGAGAGAGAGGAGAGAGAGAGAGAGAGACAGAGAGAGAGAGAGAGAGAGACAGAGACAGAGAGAGAAGAGAGATACAGAGAGAGAGAGAGAGAGACAGAGAGAGAGAGAGAGAGAGAGAGACAGAGAGAGAGAGAGAGACAGAGAGAGAGAGAGAGACAGAGAGAGAGAGAGAGACAGAGAGAGAAGAGAGAGAGAGAGAGACAGAGAGAGAGAGAGAG